GTTTTATCAGCTGGCACTTGCTTCTGCTGTTAGAATTACTACTATTAGGTAGGTGCTACAGTGGTGGTCATTATGTCCTTAGTAATAGAAGGCATAGATGGGCTGGGTTGCCTTCCATATTTTGAATGAGACGAGAGCGGGAAGTACGGGGAGATCGCTGACGACTTAGGGGGGAATCTGGTGAGGCTGCTGAGAGGTGCAAGAGGCCACTGTGCTTCAGAGGTATCGGGTGCCGCGGGAATATCAAGGACAGCCCGAGTGTGCTGCTGTACAGTAGTCCCAAGAGAAAATCGACTTCGATCCCTCGAGCCCCGTTTTCAAGGCCCCCGCCCTGAGGTGATGAAATTTTCACCATTGTGCTCCGGGTGCTGGCTGGACTTGGAGGGTCACTCGAGTGGTTGGCCACTAAGAATGCGCGCCTGCTGCAGCTTTTCCTTTTTTTTTTTTCGGGTAGGAAGGCGGGCGCTGATTTTATTTTTATTAGGCGCTGCCAATTTTTTGCGCCCCTGCCTGGGAGAGCCATTTACTGATTGCGCTTGGTGCTGACCCCTACATATTCAGCGCATCGCCCACCCCGCGCCCGTTCTCTCTTTCTCCCCCGTTCTTCAGTACTCCCAGCACCCTCATTTTCCAGCACTTCTCAGTGAATCACTGGATTTCCATTCCCCTCAACGCGCCAAAACCACCTGGATTTGCACGCTTTGACACTCTATTACAGCAACAGAACAGCGCATCGCGTCCCACTACTCATTCAACGCGTCCCGTCAAATCGTCGGCGCAAAACTTCAGGTGAAAGGCACCAGACGCTCAAATAACAACATAACCCCTTATCCCAAATATCATCACCAGAATCATCATGGCTCGCCCCAAGAAGCAACCTGTTGAGAAGCAACAGCAGCAGCAACAGCCTGCTCCCGTTCCTATCCCTCCTCAACACATTCAGCAATACCCTCAGCACCAGCAGCCCATTGCCGCTGTCCCTCAGCCTGCGATGCCCATGGCCATGGCTCCTCCTGTTGGAGTTCCTCAGCCTCAGGCTGTTATGCCTCAACGCGTCGTTGAGGCAGATAGCTTTCTGCGCGTGAGAGATTCGGTAGGTCCATACCATTTCATCTTGTATTTCATGTCTTTCGTCCTCGGTCGGACACTACGACCTAGGTACCGACCACACCCCACCCATGCCGCGGCGCATCTCTTGTTAAGTCGGCAGAGTCTTCCATGTCTTTTTGGCAGAACGAGACACCTGGAGCAATCGCCGTATTAAGGCCATAGCCGGACCATCTTGCGGAGGTTCACTTCCTTATCAGTTGACCTTGCTTCATACTGCGCTATGCCTTTATAAACCAGGGACGCGCTGTGACTTGATTGTTGACAAGTCCATATCTTGACAAAGTCCAAAGAGCTATGGCCACCGCGTCCCTGTATCCACTCAAGCTCCCCACCCACTTACACACTCGACCTTTCATCACTGTCACTTATAGTCCCGGAGAAACACAAAAGACATATTACTAACATCGCCTTGTAGGCTGTTGGGCGATTGACCACTATTCTTGAGCTTCTCCGATCTTTCACTGCCGACTATGTTCGTCAGACAAACCTCTTGCTTGGTGAACCGACTGCCGAAGGCTCGCAGGACAACCTCCTCGCCAACTTTGAGCACGCCGCTCAGCAGCTGATTATGCCCATTCCTGAGCTGGCCCCCCCTGTTGAGGAGAAGAAGGAACGCAAGAAGCGAACCATTGACCCTAACGCCCCAAAGCGCCCCTTGACTCCTTACTTCCTCTACATGCAGCATGCTCGCTCCATCATCGCCAATGACCTTGGTTCTGAGGCGCCCAAGGGTGCCGTTCAAGAGGAGGGTCAACGCCGTTGGGCTCACATGGGGCCACAAGAGAAGCAGGTAAGCCGCGCTACCTTAAATATTGACTCCTGTCAGAGTTGCCACTAACTTTGTCACAGGGTTGGAATAATGCTTACCAGTACAACCTTCGCTTGTACAATGCCCGTGTTCATTCCTACAAGCACGGTAACCCTCTGGCCAAGAACATGACTGATGAGGAGGCCTTGAAGTACGCCGAGGACTTCAACGTCCCGATGTCTGAGATCAAGGATGCTGCTCAGATCGAAGCACCTGCCGACGATCAGGATGCCATTGCTGAACAGCTCCAGGCTGTGGCTGCGGCTCCCGCTATTGACGAGCCTGAGCAAGCTGAGACCCCTGCTAAGACTCCCAAGAAGGCCACTGGCGGCCGTAAGCGCAAGACAGCTACACCTGCTGCCGCCGCTGAGGAAGCCAAACCTGCCCCTGCTAGCCCTGACAAGAAGCGACGACGCACATCTACCAAGGCTGCCGCTGCCGAGCCCCAGGAGGAGCCTAAGAAGTCGGGTCGCAAGAAGACTAAGAGCTCTTGAGTGTCCTTCATCTTTTCTTCTCTTTCTTGACAAGCACTTGGTACGCTTCGGCTTTCTTTACTCTCCGTTGAGCTCCCGTCGCAAATTTACTGCGGGGGAAGCATGATACCTAAGGAGAGTGCTATATACATAGGGTTCTCTATAGGCGTTTTGGGGGTATCTCTTATTTGCTTGTACTCGTTTTCAGACGGGATGTTAGGGCTTAGGGGTGGTTAAAACCAGGGATTCATCGATGATACGGCTGGACAGTTGGAGGGGTTGCTGAGTTGTATGATGTTTATGTTGTTTGGAAGTGCACAGCAATGCCGTAATGATAGCAATGATTTATCATTAAATCTTATTATTCCTCCTGGAAAAGTGAATAGTAACTAGAAGTCGGCACTGCTAGGTGTCATAAAGCCCCAATGCGTATTGATAGTAAGTCGTCCGTTTTCCAAGATGACGAGGAAGATCTACAGCAATAAATCTCTTGACAATACTATTTTCTTGTCCTTGCATAACAATACCTTGAAGCCTCCGACATTTAGGCTCGGAGGAACCAATTGCTACGCTGAAGCAGCTATGCTATCTTTTGTCCTTTCACCATTGGTCAGGCCACCTGATAGTGCCAGGCCTCACTTACAAGGGTCTAATCACGAGTCCCTTCCTGCCGCTTTGCAAATACTACTACAGAGATAATTCATCTTCTTGCAAGAGCAATTTGGCTCAACTCTCCTTTTGCAGCTGAGTCTCTTTGTTCATCATAAATCATTTTAAAATGCCCAGTGACACCCCTTCAGAGGCCGATTCCACGGCTCACCACCAGCCGCCTGCTTCGCACAGGACGCTTCGCTTAGTCGCGATCGCCTCATTTCTCCCCGCATTTCCCCTCTGTATTGCTCACGGGGTTCTGTCAAACGATGCAGCTCCTGCCGTCGGTCTTGTTCCGCTTGCATTTTCTTCTGGTGGAAGCTTGTTCCTCCTCCGCCGACGAGAACGAGACGATGGACTTGCGCAAAAGCTCTCACATCCTGTGATGGCCTTTGCTTTTGATGTGGTACTAGCGGCAGCTTGTATGATTGTGCTGGTCTTCACATGGATTTCGAATGACCAATTGGCGTCGTTGAGTATGCTGGCAGCTTATGCCACTATTCCCCTTCTCGTCAACTTGTCAGAGTCCCCCATTAAGAAGTACATTGCTTTGCGTACAAACTAACAGCTACATCAGTATCATTCATCTTTTTATCGCTCTAGAGTCATTCTATACGGGTCTTGCTGTCCATAGTATCGTACAATGGCTCGCTTGGCGCACTCTACCTCCTGACTGCCCACACTGTGACCGTCGACTTCGCCCAGATTTCCCAGAGCTACCATGGCTTGATCGTCTACGAGAACGACGAGATGGAGATTATTCGGCCTTATTCGTGGATGAAGAAAACAGATATCACGATGACGAGACCGAAGAGACGCTACAGCGTGCTGAGAGTGCAGCGCAGGAGGCAGAGGCGCAACCGGAGGTTGTTGATGTCAGGAAGAAGAACAACCGTAGGAATAGGACCAATACCCCTCCGTCACGAGATGAACCTGCGTCTCCATGGAGCGCCTCATGATGAATGGAAGGTGGAATATTCTTGAGAGACTGGGATGGATCAGCTGGGTCAGATGAGAAGACTGGAGTTGTGGTATTAGCTGAACGACACCGTATCGCAGCGATACTAGTGACCAACATTAGTTGAACACCTTTTATCAAGTGTAATTAGCAATACTAAGACATTTTGACTGTCAATGAGGGCCCTAGATTCGGCCTTTGTGCAGACCACAGACTCGTCGGGCAGTGTTGTCGTATACAGACCTGTGATATATCCAAGTGCATTCTCCACTGTAGCTCTAAGCCCTCAAACTCTCTGACACCAATCAGCGATAACTCAAATGGAACTTCATTCATCATATCAAGCATCTTTCTCCAGGCTATATCCTAGCTTCTTGGGGTAACCTTGACCTCAACTGGCAGCTCCGCATTTCCTGTCATTGCGGGATCGCAAGCCCATGCATATATATACCGTTATAGCGATAAATTACGAGACATCATTCCACAATCAGCTATCGGTGTGCATGTAACCCCCACTGCGTTCTTATCGGAGCGTGCCCCTAGAAGATCGCCAGCTCCCGCAGTGGGACACAAAAAGTCTGGAGCCCCAGGCAGGTCGCGGTCGAGCTTCTGATGGTGGTTGTGAGTTTGAGGCTAAATACCACGAGCCAACCTCTATAACGGCGCATTTGCTAAGGCTACGTCATGCCCACTACAGCTTCGAATACCTTCTCTTGAATCTGAAGCTGTAATTTTAACGTGCATGTGCATAGCATTAAGTTTCTCTGCTTTGTTTATGAAACCCAATTTTTATAAGAAATTTGCTTTCATTTCTCACTCCCCGAACCTTTTCTTCTTTTTATACAACCAACTGTTCTCCTAGCTCGACTCGCCCAAATCAAACACCCACTATCTTCGCCTCTCCGTTGTGGCTTGTTACCAACATCCCGGCTTTCGAGGATCTTTATTCCTGGGGACTATTAAACTTCGACTCCGTCCAAGCCAGTTCTTGAAAGCAGCCATGGCTTCTTTCATTCGTTGGTTAGTCGGAGAGACTCTGTCAAATAGGAACTCCATACTCATATAAGACTAGGTACAACGCCAGATTGGCTGCGCGTCCGCTGCTCACTCAGAGCGTTACCACTGCATTTCTCTTTGCTACAGGCGATGTCACAGCTCAGCAGCTCGTTGAGAAGAAAGGTGTCGAGAAGCATGATCTTGTCCGAACAGGTCGAATGGCTCTCTACGGTGGCTGTGAGTTCCTACAATCTCAACACCGACAGCTCGGCAATCGTTGACATTTTGCAGTTGTGTTCGGCCCGGTTGCTACAACATGGTTCGCTTTCCTCGCACGCAGGGTGAACGTGCCAGGGAACAAGAAGGCTGAGGTTCTCAGTCGAGTCGCCTGCGATCAGCTTGGTTTTGCACCTGTCATGATAGGTGTGTTCCTTGGCAGCATGGCCACGATGGAGGGGAAGAGTGCAAAGGAACGAATCGACAAGGCTTGGTGGCCAGCCCTGAAGGCCAACTGGATGCTCTGGCCTGCCGTCCAGGTCATCAACTTCTCCCTCATTCCCTTGCAATACCGTCTGTTCTTTGCCAATATCATAGCGATTGGCTGGAACTCCTACCTGAGCTGGGTGAACTCCCAGTGAGATACACCCCATGCTTCGCAGATTGCCTGCCGGTTCTTTTCACATAGATATAGAAGCGTTTCTGTATTCACGATGGACTGATATTCTTTTTGAGAATCATCTGGATTTGTTCCATGGGTCGGGGAGTATATGGTGACGAGGAATGGAAAATAAACAGCAATTTCACAGGATCTGTATCATGTTTCGATATACATTGAACCCCTGTATAATAAGCCACTCAAGCCGTATAGCTGTTTGGCTTCCATGATAAACATGGGGTCTCATTCGAGTTATCTTCTGAGCACGAGGTGGGCTGCCAAGTCTCATGAGAAAGCGGGAATCGATCTCCGAGGTGTCCATCGGAAGTTGATCGAACTCAGAGGGGTTAAGGCCATGATAGCCGCTGTAGCTCTTCGGTTTCCGCCATTTTGAGTCATTATACTCCGTAGACGCTGCCCTGTCGAAACTACGGAGAAGCCCCGTGATGAAACTGGGTGCATTGGTTGGGGTATGTTCCATGTTTAGGACAGTGATAGGCTGGTTGACAAAAACACGGTATGTACAAAATGGATCATGAACATCTCATGAGCTGGCTTGACCCGGTCACATGAGTGATTTACTTAGCCAAAACGAGAGTAGAAGAAAGATGACCATATACCTGGTACAATGAAGAGCCTGGACAATCGCCGAGATACATATTCTACATATTCTTTTTACTTTGTCTCTCTGCCCAATCTTTGAATGTGACGCTTTTTATGTCCTCAACTCATCAAAGCCGTTATCGCTGCCTTAGGCCACAAATAGTTAGCGTCACAACGTTGGCCCATCGCAGCGCAGCCTTTTCCCAAGCGGCCAAATCCGGGTTTTGTAGATAGAACCGAACAACATCAGGAACTCATCCTGACCCTCGAAACAGCCCTCCCCTCCTCTCTCTCACGCAGCGGCTCCTCTGCGCCTGGTAACACATCATGTTGCCTTCTTCTATGCGCCGAGTCGTCTCCTCAGCCGTCTCCTCGACCCCTCAGACCGGTGTCGTTTCCGTCCTCGCCTCAGCCACTTCAAAGACCACTCCCGTCTTTGTTCGAAATCAGCAGCGACGATGTTCTTCTTCAAAACCCTCGAAGTCCGATAATGGCGCCAACGAGATCTCGGCTGGCCAGTCGGTGCCTGCTGCTACATCACCCAAGTCTGGCAATGAGAAGCGAAAGCGAAAGAGCAGCAAGGATGCTTCCGATCGAGCGGCTTCAATGAGAAAGTTGCCAAGCGTTCCCAACACGCATCACATGTCACAAGAAGGTAAAGCTTTGGATACACATCGCTTCTAGGGGGACCGTTGCTAATTGTCGCAGCTCTGGGACTATCAAGTTTCTTCTCACTACACAGGCCCATCTCGGTTACTCAGACCATACCCCGAGCGGTTTCCGATGAGCACTTCGCCTCCATCTTTGCCTCCCGAACCAGAAGCAATAAGATGGCCGATACAGATTCCACTCTCTCCAGCGCTATCGAACAGTTGGAAGGGCCTATGGCTCAGATGACCATTGGTGGAGGACACGAGGGCCAGGAAGGAATGCACAAGGTTGATATCAAGAACCCCGATGGTACCGAGTCCAGCATGTACCTCCAAATCGACACCATGTCAGGTGAATTCCTGCCTTTCCGGCCTCCACCTCTGCCTCAACCTCAGGCTGCTGGTCAGGCAGATAGTGCCGTTGCCGACATCGAAGCTGCCGAAGACGTTCCCCAACACCGGATGTACAAGGCTCTTTTCACCATCGAGGAGTCCATCGATCCTGATGGTCAAGTCCGCATCATGGCCCACAGCCCTCAGATTGTGCAGGACAACCAACCGCGAAGTTTCCTTGAGCGTCTGGCTCTTCGCCAGCTCAAGTTCGACGAGGCCCAGGGCCGCCGAGACATGCACGCCATCAGCGTGAAGCGACAACGAAAGCTCAGGATGAAGAAGAAGAAGTACAAGAAACTTATGAAGAGGACGCGAGTCCTGCGCCGCAAGTTGGATCGAACTTAGACGTATGTACATATTTACCTGGTTGTTCGAGTCATGTTCCTCTTTTTGATCTCTCGCATACGGGGCATATCGAAGGACATTTTTCATTCGTGGTGTCTGGGCATTGAAGAAGAAGATCTCTTACATTGAGTGTGGGCTGTGGCATTGCGCTTTGAGGCTTTTCTTATGTTTCCATAGACTCGCGCAGGTAACAATCATCATTTTCAAATGAGTTGAGATATCTTCCGTGGTGACCTCAGTCTCAGATACACGAATCATGTATAAATAGCTGTACAATTCACCTGTTGGTCCTCAGTCATAGTTTTGGTTCAAGTGACGTCTATTTGATATTAAAAGCTCATGCGTCATGACTTAGTGTTGGTGATGCGGTAAGAGTCTATAGCTCATATCGAAAGCCTCCAGTGGGTCAAAGAAGCATCTTGTGAGTTACAAAGTATCCAGCAGTGGCCAAGGTATTTTTATTCACGTTCCTCAGGCTATAAACAATCTCTTAAACACTAAGCGCCACTATATTCAACCTCTGGAGTTCTCTCGGTGACTGAGGCTAGGTAGGTTCGGTGGAGGCCCACTCCAAAGTATCTGACCGAAGTTCACCGCCCGGCAGAAACTTATCGACCGCCAAAATTTTGGATTTTTGAGACGCTGGGTCCCACCTCGAAAACGAGATCGCATTTGCGCCAGCGTATTTTCAGAACAATTGATCTGAATAAGAATCTGAAAAGATGCAGCGCAAGGCGGTGTAAGTTTTGATGCTACTATATGGCTCTGAATCCCCTCAACTGACATCGTTATAGTGACTCGCGCATTCCAGCGCTCATTCAAAATGGCCTGCAAGAAAAGAAGAGAAGCTTCTTCGTCGTGGTGGGAGACAGGTCGAAGGACGTGATCGTGCGCCTGCATTATATCATGTCCCAGTTCGATATCAAGCAGAACAAATCAGTTCTCTGGGCTTACAAGAACAAGCTCTTGGGCTTCACCAGGTTAGTAGATCTTGACTATCTCTTCTCTCGATGCGACGCAGCTAACCCAAGCTTTCCAGTCACCGAAAGAAGCGCGAGCAAAAGATCAAGAAGGAAATCAAGAGAGGAATTCGAGAAGCCAATACCGAGGACCCCTTCGAGCTGTTCGTATCGCTACACAACATCCGATATACCTACTATAAGGAGACCGACAAGATCCTAGGTCAGACCTTCGGCATGTGTATTCTCCAGGACTTCGAGGCTATTACCCCAAATATTCTCGCCCGGACGATCGAAACTGTCGAGGGTGGTGGCTTGGTTGTTTTGCTCCTCAAGGGCATGAACAGTTTGAAGCAGCTTTACAGCCTGTCAATGGATGTCCACTCACGTTATAGGACAGAGGCCCACGACGATGTAGTGGCACGTTTCAACGAGCGATTCATTCTCTCTCTGGGAAGCTGCAACTCTTGCTTGGTTATTGATGATGAGATGAACGTTCTCCCTATCTCAGGTGGAAAGGGTGTGAAGAAGCTTCCTCCTCCGGATCTCGACAATCCCAAGACAGAGTCGCAAATTGAGCTTGAGGCCATGAAGGAGCAGAACGAGGGACGACAGCCCGTAGGACCTCTTATTTCTCTCGCCAAGACTGTGGACCAGGCCAAGGCTCTTATCACATTCACAGATGCCATCGCTGAGAAAACCCTAAGGAGCACAGTTACTCTTACTGCTGCTCGTGGTCGCGGAAAGTCTGCGGCTATGGGTGTCGCTGTCGCAGCTGCAGTTGCGTATGGATACAGTAACATTTTCATTACCTCCCCTTCGCCTGAGAACTTGAAGACTCTGTTTGAGTTTGTCTTCAAGGGTTTTGACGAGTTGGGCTATGCTGATCACGCCGATTACTCTATTATTCAGAGTACAAACCCCGACTTCAACAAGGCCATTGTTCGAGTCAACATTCACCGACAACACAGACAGACTATTCAGTACATTCGACCTCACGATGCACACGTGTTAGGGCAGGCCGAGTTGGTGGTTATTGATGAGGCTGCGGCTATTCCTCTGCCCCTTGTGAAGAAGCTTATGGGTCCTTATCTTGTCTTCATGGCCTCTACCATCAACGGTTATGAGGGTACAGGTCGATCCCTTTCTCTCAAGCTCATCAAACAGTTGCGAGACCAGTCGCGCACTGCTTCCACAGCTGGCGAGGGCATGGAGATCACTGATCGATCAACTGGCAAGACCTCAAAAACTGAGGAGTTCCAGGCGGGACGCAAGCTGCGAGAGATCACATTGTCTGAGCCTATTCGATATGCCCAGGGAGATGCTGTCGAGAAGTGGCTCAACACGGTTCTCTGCCTCGACGCGACTCTGCCCAAGGCCAAGTCGAATATCAACGGATGCCCCGACCCTACACAATGTCAGCTCTTGAACGTCAACCGAGATACTTTATTCTCTTTCCACCCTGTGTCCGAGAAGTTCCTTCAGCAAATGGTTGCGCTGTACGTAGCTAGTCACTACAAGAACTCGCCAGACGACCTTCAACTTATGAGTGATGCTCCAGCACACGAGCTTTTCGTCCTTGTTCCTCCTGTTTCTGAGGACAGCGCCAGACTACCCGAACCTCTCTGTGTGATTCAGGTTTCGTTGGAGGGAAAGATCAGCAGACAGAGCGTCCTTAACAGTCTGAGCAGAGGACAGCGACCATCTGGTGATCTCATTCCTTGGCTTGTCAGCCAGCAGTTCCAAGATGAGGAATTCGCTTCCCTATCTGGTGCTCGAGTTGTTCGTATTGCCACAAACCCTGAGTATGTTTCAATGGGATACGGTTCCAAGGCTTTGGAACTGCTCGTTGACTATTACGAGGGGCGCTTCGCCAATCTGTCTGAGGACGAGGATCAGGTTATGGAGGAGACAATGACTCGAGTTACTGATGCTGAGCTCGCCAACGCCAACTTGCTCGACGACGACATCAAGGTTCGGGATATTAACAAGATGCCTCCCTTGTTCGCCAAGCTGTCAGAAAAGAAACCCGAGCGACTCGACTATGTCGGTGTTAGCTACGGATTGACCCAGCCTCTTCACAAATTCTGGAAGAAGGCCTCCTTCGCTCCCGTCTACTTAAGGCAGACTGCCAATGATCTGACTGGCGAGCATACCTGTGTCATGCTGCGACCGCTTGAGAACAGTGAGGACCGAAGCTGGCTCGGGGCTTTCTCCAGAGATTTCCAGAAGCGTTTCCTGTCCCTCCTGTCTTACCAGTTCCGCACGTTCACTCCCATCACTGCCCTTAGCATCGATGAGGCCGCCAAGTTGGGAGCGCAGCTGGACTCAGTTGAGGTTCAACCATTGACCAAGGCTGATCTTGATATCTATATGAGCCCTTTCGACCTGAAGCGACTCGAATCATATGCCAACAACATGCTTGACTACCACGTTGTTCTCGATCTTGTTCCAACCATTGCCCACCTCTATTTCACAGGACGCATCAAGGGAGACGTTACTCTATCAGGAGTCCAGCAGGCCGTCATGCTGGCTCTTGGTCTACAGCGCAAAGATATCGATGCCGTTGCCCTGGAGCTCAATATGTCCACTTCTCAAGCCCTCGCCATGTTCATTAAGATGATGCGAAAGATCACTAAACACTTCGCCGGTCTCGTCTCCGAAGCTGTTGGCGCAGAACTTCCCCAGGTCGAGCGTCTGGGTGTGAGCCGCGAGAATGCTAGTGGCGCACATGACGATGAGATCGTCGACGAACGTTACGTTCCTCTGGCTACAACATTGGACGACGAACTTGAGGAGGGTGGTGATGAAGCAATGAGGGAGCTCAAGAAGAAGCAAAGAGAGCTCATTGACTCTTTACCACTTGACCAGTAAGTTTCATTCAGATATACACATGCAAGGACATCTGCTAACAAAGAATAGATATGAGATTGAGGGAGATACTCCTGCTTGGGAAGAGGCGGAAAAACAGGTACTGAGTGCGACAAAGCAGGGCAAGTCAAACCCCGTGGTCAGCGTAAAGTCAGCCAAGCAAAAGAGAAAGGCCGGCGGCCAGACAGCTGCTGAGGTCTATGAAGAGGCATTTGGCGAGAAGAAAAAGAAGAGCAAGCGTGTGAAAAAGTCGGCGTGAGAGCGACGAAGAATATCCTAAAGTTAGGTTTGGCACATGGAACGGCGTTTTCTTCGATAGACAGACGTGTTTAATCAATATACTGTTCAATATGATTACATTTTATCGACTCAGGAGGATTGTTGATGGTTTGAGCAAGGATGTCACTCAGGCTTTACATAAGTCAAAAGGTAGCTTGCATCACAAATACTTTCACTCAAGCAATGATATCTGTGTATAAATCAGGGGTATCAATTTGTTGCTGTGCTACAGTTACAAAGGTCTATAGTCTTATCACCAAAAGGCCAAATACTCTACATCTTTGCAAGCTGAGTACCTTGATTCTTCCACCAGGGAAGCTCAAGTCTATCCTGCTGAAGTATAACCAAATGTCGTTCCCAGAAACTCCTTTTATTCAACAAAATCACCATCACGTCCCAGGTCCATCATAGAAAAGAACAAGCTCATAATAGAGACGGCCGGCTCTTTATATGCTCGGCTGGGTTTGGGTTCAACAACATGTTTACGGTCGGGGACATCACCGTAGAACAAATCTTCGGGGTCAACCTCAGCGGTCTCGTTGTTGGCGGCATCGTTGAAAATCTCGCTTTCTTGAGTTGAGCCCTCGCTTTCAGCGTCATAACTATCTTCATTGCCATGTTGGAAACCCCCTTCTCCGTCGTCTGCAGACTCGAGACTGTCGAAAGACGTGACAGATTCAAGGTCTCCCATCATATCTTGGCGAATCAAGGACATAAAACCCTCGGGCTTCTTGCGAGGAGGAATGGGCTTCTTCTGGAAATACTCACGAGCGAACTGATCCTCCCATTCCTCCAACTTCTCATGAGCGACATATTCACGGAACAAACGGATCTCGGGGCTCTCATTCTGGACGTTGCCAAAACGCGGGACGATGTTTCCAAACCACGAGAGGCAGGTGTCGTTATTGGGACAGCCTGTGAGCATAGGCTGGAACTGTTTGATACGATACTGGCAGTCCCATGCTGGCAAGATAGGTCGTCGCTCGCGGTGAGCCACTTGTGCGTCGAAGTACCAGCTATGACAAGGCGCGATATAGACACCAATATTGTCACCACAATGGCAGCATTGTTGGACGATCTCTTGGCACATGTTTGGTGAAGGTTTCTGTGGTTTATAGGAGATCGTGCTGGATTATTGCGGTGACAACTGTGCTTCAGGTATGGACAGTCGTTGATTCCTGAAGGGCATGTGTAAGGAAGGGCTTCGAAGGGTAAGGGGAAGGGTTTGGGAACTGGCATTCTGGGAGAGAAGAGAGCTAACTGTTTGACAACGAACACTTCAAAGTGAACAGCTGAGACTTTAGCAGACAGTGGCACACTGAACAATTAGTAGCAGTGGCAGTGGCAGCGAGTTACCATATGAGGACAAAGACGTGATTCGCTGGTGAACATGAAGTCACTGGCTCCTATCCATGGCTGGACTGTGTACAATGGAACAGGTTTCGATTTAAATCAAAGCATGTAAAAGTGACAAGTTGTCTACGGGATCAAATAATATTTCTAAGTGTTTATTGTTCCAGAGTATCTATTATTTGTGAGTACCTGTCGATGATGGGCGACTGACTCAAGACAACAAATCTAACTACCACGGTACAGCTTCAACCGCCAAAAAGATCACGGATCAGCAAAATAAAACATACAACACCAGGTATTCGCTGGTCGTCACCGACCCAACTACTAATCCGGCGCTTCGCGGCTTGACTCTGGGGGAGCGGACGGGACCCCGTATTCTCCACGAGCTGTGGTCGTATGTGATAGACCGAGAAGCTCAACAGCGATTTGAAGGTGAGTACAGATCACATGTCCAATAGACATACTCCTTTTACTTTACTCGTATCTTGGTTTTGTCTCATAAAGCTCGACTGTTGGAGCTCTCTCTGCTCCTAACTGGTGTCTTGCTGGGGCAGCTTTCGCTCGGGCAAGCCTCTGGTGTCAGTGAGCCACAAACCTCCTGGGCGACTCCAAGATCGTGAGACACAAAGTATGCGACAGGATGGATCAGATGGCCACTGTAACTCCGAACTGCTTCTACATATGTGTTAATATAAGTTTTGCAATGCTTCCATTCGAAGGTAACCGTGGCCCCAACATTTGGGGCATAAAGCGACGTGTTCGCGACACATGATGATCTATGTTCTTCTTTTCTTCTTCTTCTCCTCTTTTCTGCGAGGGACTCTGAATTTACCAGGTTATCGAATTCTTCGATAATATCAATGTGCTGTAGGATGAATGGATCTGAAATTGTCTGTGTTGGATGGAACTTGTAGACGAAATACCTTTGTGAACAAGAGATGTTCATGGGTTGTTCGCCCCCATCACAATGGCAGACTAATATGATCCAGTCTGTGGGATGAACAGTGATTGGATGATATACTAAATTTCCCCAAGTCTTTTCATCATTCAGGCTACAGGTTCCAAGTCTTCTTGCTTGCCCCAGAGAGTAACTCATACTATGATCAGAGGAGAAAAGGCTGGCTGATAGGGACAGAAGAAAGACGAAGAGAACTATCAGAATGGCCGATGTCGACATTCTCTGGATTCAGAGACATGTCCACCAACAACCTTTCTTCTTCTTCAGCAGGGTCTTTTTTTGGTTTTCCGACGTGGTATGCATCAGTTCACAGACATGACCTGATAGGACACAGTCGGCACAGCGTAGTACTTTTGATGTACGCCTTTGTCTCAATGAAACACAACCGTGTAAGTGACAGGCCATCAATGCAACCCCACCGCGGGGTATCTAACATGGAGAAGGAAAATGGTATTTGTATCTCATGAGACTTTCGAGTCCAACTCGGATCATGCTATATACTAGTAGGATTGGAATCCACGTTTTCTAACAAAGCCTTGTATAGTCATCGAATAATAAATAAAAGACACAGTTTCCGTGCCCAAGTCCGCAAAGGCGCAGCACCAATCCCTCGACTTCTATATCCGATTATCATGCACGTTCTTGGGGTTCCAACCTTGAGTGCTCCGATCTCGGCGGTAGCTCCGGCACCGTCGGCGGCGTTCATGATCATTCCCATGTAAGCAATCCAGGTATAAAGAGGCAGTAAATCCTCTCTATTTTATTCTATTGCATTCATTCATTCATCAATTCATATACTTCCCAATCGCAAAGATGGCCGAACAGAAAGATAGATGGTCTGCCAACGTGCGTATACTTTGTCGTTGAAGGAGCCTTACACTTACACCAAATCCAGGCTTATCAGCACTCGGCTTCTTTTGTCCCCAAGCTTGCAACAAAAGTTGTTCAATGGCTTGATTTACAGAAAGATGATGTCCTTCTTGATATCGGATGTGGAGGTATGTACTTGAGTCCCAACTTGAACCACGGTCCTGAGACTGATCATCTAGATGGCATCTTGAATGCCGAGTTCGCAAAGATCTTGGCTCAAGGAAGCGGTTCAATGCATGGCGTTGATAGCTCAGCTTCCATGATTGAAGCTGCCAGAGAACTGTGCAAAGATTCTCAGAAGTCTACCTTTGATGGTGAAGCCGACCAACCCTAATTACTTGTCTCTTTTCATTAACCATTCGTAGTCTTGGACGCTACACAGCTCGTCTCCAGGCCAGAATTACAAAAAGGAGCTTTCACTAAGGTTTTCTCCAATGCAGCCATGCACTGGATTCTCCGCCCAGAAGATACTCGTGCTCAGTTCTTCAAGGGTGTCTACGCTTCACTGGCCCCAGGTGGTTCATTCGTCTTCGAGATGGGCGGTTTCGGCAACGTTTCTGAAATGCGAACTGCTGCTCTTAGTGCTGTAGGGCGCCGCATCGGTATGAAAGCCGCCCTTGCAGCTGATCCATGGTTCTTCCCTGACCAAGCTTGGGTCACGAAGGCGATGCAAGACGCAGGCTTCGTTGTTGAACGGGCAGAGCGCGAGTGGCGGCCAACACCAACTGACAAAGGGGGTGTTGAGGGCTGGATTAGACTCATGGCAAGTCAGTTCTTAGATGCCATTTCAGATGAAAAGGAGAGGGAGGAAGCTGTGCAAGAATGCGTGGGGGTGCTGAGGGAGGTTTGTCGTAATCCTTCTGGTGGGGAGACGATACATTATGTGAGGCTCAGAGGCATGGCCAGGAAGCCTGAATAGCCACGACTGATAGTAACTGTAGCATGGGGAAATGTCAAATAGAAAAGCATCTGCATCATGATAGAACCATTTTTAGTGGCATTAACAGTACACCGATATCGGTGCATCATGGTGAGGAACTTCTAGAACGATGCCCGGTTGTAAGAATGTAAGTGGTGGTGATTAGTCAGTCACGTCACTGAAGCTCGGAAATTTCTAGGCAACTTGCGTCAGCGTATGTAACCGCGAATTGTTCAAGTCTCATACAATCACTTGCCCCAGGGGCAATGAAGTCCAAGGCACCCAAACTTTACGTGGCCTATTGACCTCCAGCAGTTCCTCCAAAATATTTGCTCTCTAAATATGATGAATCCTTTTGTATTACACCAAGATTGCATTCTAGATGATACCTAGCTCATGAAGACATTTCTTCCATCTCTATCGCACTGAAACACCTCTATCGATCGTGAAACCACCCACAGCTTACCCTACAAAGGCACGACATCATCATGCCCGAACACGATGCCCTCGTGTTGTCGTATAGCCACTTGGCCAAGCTTCCCAGAGCGAACGATGCCCTGCAGACCTTGAAGAAAGTAGCTTCTCTTGTGAAGCCTATAATGCGAGCGCGCAACTGGAAAGTCCGAGAGTTGGCCGAGTTCTATCCTGAACAACAGAATCTGTTAGGTAGGTCCCAGATGAACTTCTATAGGTCATCTATGATATTAAATGTAGTTCATAGGTCTCAATATCAACCGAGGAGCCAAGATATGTCTTCGTTTGCGACATGCCGGAGATAAGAACCAGTTTATGCCCATCGAAAGCGTTGTTGATACAATGCTACACGAGTTGTCACACATAGTCCATGGCCCTCACGATGCCAAGTTTCATGCTCTTTGGGATCAACTCAGAGATGAGCACGAGGGTCTAGTTCTTAAAGGCTACACTGGAGAAGGCTTCCTCTCAGAGGGGCGGCGTCTTGGAGGCTCAAGAATACCACCTCTCGAAGCTCGTCGAGTAGCACGAGAGGCTGCAGAGAAGCGACGAGCTCGCCCCGGTACTGGATCAGGCAAACGTCTAGGGGGCTCTGCTCCTCGGCCAGGTGAAGATATTCGGAGAGTTATTGCGGATGCTGCCGAGCGACGGAGCAGGATCCTCAAGGGATGTGGCACAGATAACCTCAGCGAAACTCAAATTCGCAACATTTCAGACAATGCCACAAAGAACGGTTTTCGAACCCAGGCCGAAGAAGACGAGGCTAACGATGCAGCCATAGCTCAAGCCCTGTGGGAACTAGTGCAGGAAGACAAATCTGTCGAATACGGCAATTCATACATCGCTCCCACGGCAGACAATCCAACTGGAAATGGAGGCGGATCAGTAATCCCTCATAGGGGACCTGGTGCTAGTTCGGATAGGCCTAGAGAGCCTCCAGGTTGGACATGCAGCACCTGTACTCTGCACAATCCTGCCAACTACCTCTGTTGTGACGCTTGTGGGATGGAGCGGTCCGAGATGAGTCCAGGGACACAACAGGTTAAGAACAACCGCCGATCCAGATCGCCAGTATCGCAACCTGCTGTTATTGACTTGACGACTTCGAGTCCGCCACGAGATCGGCAGAAGCCTGCGACAACATCGCGGAATTCAAGACCAAGAGTCACAAGTCAAGAAGCTGCATCGTCGGGACCGCAGCCGCAGATGTGGGAATGTAGTTTTTGTGGGACGGTGATGGAAAAGAAGTGGTGGACTTGTTCGACATGTGGGAAAATCAAGGGCAATTCACGGTAGTTAGTTCGAGAATTGAGTTGCTGTTGGTCAACAATACGAACTGGAGCAAATCAATGCCTTGAACCCTTGTTTCTCGTGTCTTGGTTGTCGATCAACAATGACTTCATCGACACTGGGTCTTTTTGGTCTTTAAGGATTAAGTCTGCGACAGTCTCAAGCTATATCAAGTGCGGGTTTTTTTTCCTCTGGAGCGAGGCCAAGACGCAGGGGCCAATTTAACCAAGATCCTATTGAGATTCCCAAGGGAAAAAAAGATGATATTAATGAGACTTTGCAGTATTCGGAAAGGCGCCGATTGGAACTGGAGATGATCTGCAAGGCGGGCTTGGACGCCATCGGAGCTTGTAACAATTAGACCCTAGCAGAAACCGGGCGGGGGACAGAGGCATTCGGGTGAAACAACAAAAGATGGAGGAAAAAGAAGTGCTTACGCTTAAAGCGGCTGATGAGGAGCAGCCAAGCAGAAGGATGCAGCAATAACTGTTAGGTAACCAGCATGAAGATGCTATAACTAGGATGCATCTGCGAGATGCCTTTGCGGTTCCAGCTTGGGCTTAGCTGGCATGCCAAGAGATTGATGTGTTTGCATCCTCCTGCCTGTGTGAATGGAAATTGGTGATTTGAAATGCGAATGTGCAAATGACACCGGAGTTTTTCATGCTGGAATCAATTCTGGGCTTGGCCAAAAGGTCTAGATGCCGATAGACTCAAAGGCCAGACCACTCGATACAACCACAAATAGACGGCAGCATGCAGCTAATTGTCCGGAATGCACCTGTCGGAGGATAATTGTGCATTTCATCGTAACACAACCGCTTAGCTGCCAGCTGACAGAGTACCTAGATTCCAGCCCAGTTGCTAAAACAGGCACATTTGTTGCCCTCACCGGCTAGCTAGCTGATCAAGGGCAAGTAGTGAAACTTGATGAGTAGTTATAAACCCGTTGGAATCGGAACGACTCGGTTTCAATAAGTCACCCATCTTTGTGTCCCCAACATTGAAATGCAAAAAGTGAAAGTGTCTGCGTGGTGCCTGAAAGGCCGCAACACCTCATTCGTCCGTTCCCGCGATCTCCTGTGTCGTGCAGCACATCCATCCCTTGGAAGTGGGGAAACTCGTCCAAAGCCCAGCATCAGCGTGGATGGGGATGCGAATGCAACTGCAACCACATCAGGCGAGATAGTGTTGTACATACTGTAACAAAGCGTTGTGCGCCAGGGTCCCGTATCCCCATATTCAGATCAGTTGACAACAAACATATCGACGAGGCGGTGATGCCTTGAAGGATTCAGTCTTTTGAGTATGGTCGAAAATAGTCCCATTGGGTACCCGTAAGGTATTGATTGATTGTGCCTAGATTATAAAATCTCTAGCGTCGAGGAGCTCCCGCTGTTGATGGTGGGCAGATGACAAACAACTCGTCCCGTGATAGGGTAGGTCTGCGAGAATGAGTTGGATGGCTGCGAAGGAGGGTGTTCGTTAGACGCCATGTTGCAACGGTCAATTCAAAGATCCCCATGATGATGATCAGGATCATGTTTAAATTTCCAATATGGCCAATCTGAGGTCAGGATTTCCAGAGGAGGAAGCCGATGTGGAAAGGCAACTCTGGTGGTTCCGCAGCCCCAAAGTTGGGCGGATGACACGGATCAATAGACTTCCGTGGCCTTCAACTCAACTGTGGTCTGTTTCTGTTTCTGTCCTGCCCTGGGCTGTCTGTGGTTGCTGGGATTGAGGCTATCCATTCCCACGGGATGGCCCTTGTTCTTACTGTAGATTAGGGCGCCTTAATTCTCTTGCCTGAATTGGTCATAGGGCACATGTTTGAAGCTTGTTGATCGATGAAAGAAACGTGCTCGCATAGTATCGAGCTTTGTGCGACCGTGACCGCGATCGGCTTCGCTAAGGTTATCTTGTCTGATTCGGCCTCGTCTCTGCATAAGGCTGGGTTGTTGTGTTGGTCTTGGTTTTCAATTGGACTCGCATGTGCTTGTTGTACTGTCCAGTACTGTGCTTCCTTAACCTCGAGTTGTAACAGACTAGCCGGGGTCTCCCATGTTGGTGAGCATGAGCAGCTCTATACTGACACGCCAGAGCTAAAGGGAGCTAGTTCACGATTCTGGGCTCTCTTAGACGCGATATTCGATTTCTGAGATTGCGGCGCCCGGTCGCATGTTATTGTGCTTTTCGAGGTTCTCGAGGGAATCTTCAGCGACCGAGTCTGTGCCCATTTCGAGACAAGGTCTTTCGTTGAAGAACTGTTCACCGCAGAAATCAGGGCTTGCGACTGGAGCCATGCATGCCATGCCATTCTCATGCTCGATCGGCATTTCAAGAACAAGGGAGGGTGAAGTGGGCCCGGCTGTGGAGGCGATCCCGACCCTGGACGACGCCGCGACGCTCTCTTAGGTGAGCAGACGGCTTCAACCGCCCCACTCTACAGCACCTCTCAGTGGAGAGGATCCGCACTCCTTGCCCCCCCAGACCCTCTACGAGGCGCTGAGAGGGGACCTAAGCGACTACCAACAGGGCGTTAGACCCCCGTAAGAACCCTCCACTGCTGAAGGTTGTGAGACCCCGCCCGCTTGTCCGTCGCTCGGTCGCTCGCTCATTGTGTTGGTGGTGGTACCAGCTCTTGCCTATCCTATCATGTACCCCGGCACCAGGAGGAAGGTGACGGGAGGTGTGTCAATTCAGGGTCCTTCCTATCCTTGGGTGTCGGTTCGACTGCTTTCCTTCGCGGCTTCCATGGAGTGAAAATCAATACCTATTCCTTTCAAGGCTGTTGCATAAGAAAAACCTTGAATGTTTTATTTTCTCTTCTATTGCCTGTATCTTCTCCTGCATCAACATCTGATTCAACCCTGACTTTTGTTGTAGAAGCCCGGTCTTCTCCACCTCAAGCCTGGGCTTCCAGCTCATCCTGCTAAAGCTGTCATCTCTATTCCAGCTTTACGGTTCACACTTCCATTTCAGCTGAGCTGTCTCGTTCGTCCACTGGCTTCCCGGCTCAGGCAAACCAAAACGTGGTATATCATACTTGTTTTGTTGACAGAGATATCAACCTCTCGTAACTCACCGAACCATAACCTCCCTCCCGCCGTTCCTGGCCCAAACCAGTAAACCGTCTTAACACGCCCTTCAAAGTCTAATCCCGCCTCCGTCGACGCCGTCCCAAGACAAGCTAGACTTGAGCCACGGGTTGCCTGACCTTTACGGCACTTTTCCCTCTCTGCGCTATGCCAATTCCCCGTCGCCGGTCACCTGTCGATTCGAAGTAGATCAACTCCACTGATTACTTTCTTTTGGACCTTGTCTCAAGGTCGAGACCGCTGACGCCCCGGCCATCGCTTCCTTCGCCCACGACCAGTGCATTCACAACTTGCAACTCTGAATATTTACTCTCCCTTGTGATTTTGTCGTTCGGCTCCTCATCATTTGCCCATCGTTTAATACCCAACTCGCACGGAACGGCGTTCAATCTCCATGACTTATAACGCAGCACCGATATGAGCCCTCCCGAACAAACTCGTGAGAGCAGCCAAACTCGAGCTATTAGGCCCGCAGCAGCTGTGCACGACACCGGCTTTCCCTTGGCTTGCTCCGAATCACATCAAAATCAGATCCAAGCTCCTGTTCCGACCTCACTTGACAATGCGCGACCGAGAGCCACTTTCGACTTGGTGAATGATATCAAGGGCCATGATGCCACCCCACGACTATCTGCTGGGGGACGTTTCCTCAGGGATCTGGGAGATGCTTCGCGCTCACCTTCGCAAAGCCCTTTTCGCCTAGCCATGCCTAGTATATCTCCTGCCCAGCTTGCATTCTCTGCCATGCAGTACTTGCCGGTACCAACTCTCGTTCTTAATAATCTTAAGACAGTCGTCCTGGCCAACGAAGCAATGGGCCGAATGCTAGGACTCATTACGGAAGATTCGGATGAGGACGATACTCTGCCGACTATCGAAAGCCTTCGCGGCCAGACCTTGTCTCAAGTTGGTGTTGATATCCTCCAGGATGGACAGCCTGTGTGGGCAACGTGGGAGGCTTTCCTCGATTCTCAGGTGGATGAAATGGGCGTGCGAGTTGCAGCAAGGGATCCACGACGACCATCACAGTCCGGCGGCGATGAGACGCCAACCGCAAGCACAATGCCTTTCCCCGAGAGGGCACCAAGCCCACCCGTGCGTAAAACACAGGACTCCATCGTGGAAGTTGTAATCACCCGCAAAAATGGCAACAAGGCAGCGTTTGATGGCCGCTATAACCCTAAAGAATCGGATTGTCAAGTATATGCTAAGATGATTATTACAATATGGGAACTTGAAGATCATCAGACGTTCTTCACACTCACCTTTACCAGCACGGAATCCCCGTCATCCACTCTTCACAGCACGAAACGACCCATTGCGAGACCGAGTATCCTCGAGGCAGCCGAGCGCAAATCCATTGCTCACTCAAACCCGTCCTCGGTTGCGTCAAGCCGAGATTCGAATTCACCATCATTTCACAGCCCAGGAATTGTCACCATGTCATCTAGCCCTTTCCCACCGATGGGCCCCCCTTCTGTCGCAACCCATTCAAGTACGCCTTCTCTTCTGCAAAAGATGCTGCTGATGAAAGACGCACTGCTCAACAATACCCAAATGCCCATTTTAGCAATGTGGAAAGATGGTAGTGTCACTTTTCCCAACACGGCTGCTCGGAAACTCTTTGAGAAAGAAGCCCCGCTCGATACATCTCTTAATGGCTTTGATCTCATGCGGTATTGGCACATTTACACTGAGGACTTCTCGGAGCGCTTTGCGGTCGAGGACATGCCTATTTGCAAGCTGCTCAAGACGGAGAAGCCCTTTAGCGGATTCCGTGTTGGCATGTATGATGAGAACAGAAATAAGCGGATTTACGATGTCCTTGGTGAGGCTATTCGAGACGATTCCACTGGCGAGTTTCTCGCTGGTGTAGTTACTGGACGGGATGTGACTGTCATGACAGAA